CGTTGTGAAGTATTGAATCCTTTGGTAATTGAACACTTTGAGAAGCTGCTCGACCAAAATCCTCAAACAAGATTCATGAGTTTGTACTATGAGTACATGACGCTGGAGGTTGGTCCTTCTTCATTAATCTCCAATCGTGATTGCTTTCAAGCCTTCTATAGTTCCTCTGTAAATTTTGATCTGACCATGATGCAATAAATCCATGGAATACCAGATCACCATCGGTCGATGGTTGTTCCCTCAATTTTTGCAATCAAGTACCACCATGTAAGTAACGATAAAAGATTTTTCACAGATGGATCAACCATAAATGCTTCCACTGGATTTGGTGTATTTAATCAATTTCATAGCGCCTCCTATAAACTGCAGAAGCCATGCTCCGTATATGTTGCGGAACTCGTAGCTATATTTTACGCAGTAGAGCGAATTGCCTCACTACCTTCTGACCATTATTTCATTTTTACGGATAGTCTTAGCTCATTGGAGGCTATTCGTTCAATGAGGCCGATGAAGCACTCCTCGTATTTCCTGCCTGAAATACGAACTAAACTAAGTGCTTTATCTAACTGCTCCTATACTATCACCTTAGCTTGGGTCCCATCTCATTGCTCAATTCCGGGTAATGAGAAAGCGGACTCATTGGCTAAGGTGGGCGCTATGGGAGGCGGTATTTTTGAGTGACAAATCGCCTTCAACGAATTTTTCTCCATTTCTCGCCAGCAAGTCCTCATCAGTTGGCAACAAAAATGGAATGATGGTGAATTGGGAAGATGGTTACATTCTATTCTCCCACAGGTGTCGAACAAACCATGATTCAAAGGGTTGGACATGAGCCGCGACTTTATACGCGTTATATCAAGGCTTATGTCCAATCACTGCTCGTTAGACTCGCACTTCTATCGAATTGGGCTCTCAGGCAGCAATTTATGTGCGTGTGGCAGTGGTTATCACGATATCGAGCATGTTGTTTGGTTGTGTACCTTACACCGTGTTGCCAGATCTGAGTTATCCACATCCCTCAGGGCCCGAGGAAAACAACCCGCGATACCCGTTAGAGATGTCTTGGCGAGCCGAGACCTCGACTATTTGAATTTAATTTATGTGTTTTTAAAACGGATAGATTTGAGGATTTAGAAGTTAGTGTCATCTTGTGTTCTCCCAAGTTGTTAGCTACCCATCGGTGTACCCCCATGTTTGTCTTTTTCATCAGAGTGTCGCCTAGTTCGAGATCAAGAGCACATTGCTCTCCAAACCTTGTGTTCACAATCCCTACCCTGCCATCCATTTGTTACAATTTGTTACCCCTAACCTCGAGATAGCCGCAAGTAATCGGCCCCCGCTTTACTAACGTTAGTTTTAAGTAATTTTGTTATCTTAACAATGAATATCGGCTCCGCAAAGCTACAGCAAATAAGCCTGGAAAAATAAACGAATTATTAAAAAAAAACATCACATTTTGAAACTAATCATTCTATGGCTTTGTTTATACCGAACCAATATACCGAGCAAAGTCTGAGATCAAATTGAAATCTAAATTTGATTTTGTGATTTCGCTGATAATGATTGCTGTCGTTTTGGTCGTTTTAACGGTTAAAATATCAAAATTGAGAGCAAAGAAATCTTCCTGTTACATCACATTGAAAACTATTTCTGCTATCAGTGAGAGCAAACTGAAAACTAAATTTAACGATTACAGAATGGTTAGCATGTAATAGTTTTAAAATTTCTTTTTGAATTTGTTGCTGTATAATAACCCTGTCTCGGTAAAATAAGCAGTCTTGAACCATTTCCAAATTATGCTGATTAGAAAATACATCTATAAAACACACTCCACTCGTTTCGGCCAACCATTATTTAAGTATATGCAGAAACTTATCAACCTTTGTCAACTTTGCAATAATGGCATGATTTAATGGGATTTCTTCGCCGAAATTTATATTTCTTATAACTTCAGTATCATACTCAACGGGAACTAACTGTTCTAAAGGGAATCTTGGACAGAAGTCCGCATTACCCATTTTTGCTGAAGGCCGGTATTGAATTTCATAGCCATAAATTGAAAATTCTAGAATATATCTTTGAAGTCGTGTTACGAAAATCGAACGCTTGTCCGGTTTTGCAAAAATTGCAACTAGAGGCTTATGATCAGTGAAAACTGTAAATGTTTGGCCATAGAGATACTTGTGGAATTTTTTAATCGTGCAAACCAGAGCTACCCGCATAAACGCGAACCATAAATTGACCTTACCTAAAATGGTTAAAAATTGTTTATAATCCCTGCTAAACTTTAACTGAAATGGTTATGGAACTTTACATGAACGTTTAATGATAAAGTTTCAACCTTATGTATTATGGTTTTTTGGAACTGGACCTTACAAATAATGGGTTGTTAAGAACCATTACCATTCCAAATACTTGTTTTCTCCATACATTTTCGGAAAGAGAACTATATTAGAACTTTTTAACTTATGGTTTGAGAACTTTAATGGTAATGGTTATGGTAGTCAGTAAGGTCCACGAATGGTTTTGTAACATCGATCAACTTTATGTGGAATATATCGCGAATTGGTTGCCTGTAATTTACTGATTACCAATTCACGATATATTCCACGTAAAGTTGAGCGATAATACAAAACCATTAATGGACCTTACTGACTACCATAACCATTACCATTAATGTTCTCAAATCATAAGTAAAAACGTTCTTATATAGTTCTCTTTCTGAAAATGTATGGAGAAAACAAGTATTTGGAATGGTAATGGTTCTTAACAACCCATTATTTGTAAGGTCCAGTTCCAAAAAACCATAATACATAAGGTTGAAACTTTATCATTAAACGTTCATGTAAAGTTCCATAACCATTTCAGTTAAAGTTTAGCAGGGATTATAAACAATTTTTAACCATTTTAGGTAAGGTCAATTTATGGTTCGCGTTTATGCGGGTAATGCTTCCGAATGAAGAATAGGGTATGATTTTTGAGCGTCATTTAACGTAAAAGAAGTAAAACAAATTGGTTTTTCTATTTCATCTACAATATGAGCAATTACTCATCCAAGTTCATATCCAGAAGCTTCAGTTACTACAACTATTGGCTTCTTTGGGTCATAAAACTCCAAAAATTGTGTTTCCAATAGTGACTTTTTGCTTTCTTCAAACTATGTTTGACAGTTTTCACTCCATGCGAATTTCACATATTTTCTCAAAAGATTGTACAGATAATAAAGCCTGGAAGCAGAGATGCTTGCTGAATTAACAGACTTTTATTTTTTTCACAGACATTTTTTTCGTTACAGAAATTTACAGACTTTTTAGTTTTTTCACAGACATTTACAGACTTTTCTAACCTAGGGAAAATTTTAAAATTTATTTGGTTACACTGTTTTACATCTTTAATCAAATTACATGCGATGCATTTTGCAACACGCATTAGAAAATCGCGCGTTTTAAAATTCACCACACGAACGAGCTGTCACTGTTATAGACGGTCATAGTTGTAGACCTGTCAATGTGCTGCCATGTTGTATCCAAAACGAACATTTTCCATACGAATTGACGGTTTGTTTGGATAACTCAACTCTCGCTGGCCGGTCTATAACATGACTGTCTATAGTCACTGTCACAGAAAAACCCAAATGTGCGGAACCCAATGTGCGATTATGATAAAATTCAATAGCGTCATATGGGAGAACAGTTTAAACAAAGTGGAACTGGTTTCACTCAAATCGGTTCAGCCATCATCAGAAAAGTGAGTAAGTTTTACTTTCTATTTCAAAATTTCACTTTTTTTGCCATATCTCCGCAATCCAATGTGCAATCGGGATAAAATTCATTATTTCATTCGTCTTATGGAAGAACCAAACAAAAAAAATAAAATTGGTTTCACTCAAATCGGTTCAGATATCGTCGAGAAAAGTGAGTGGGAAATTTTGTTTACATTCCAAAATTTTACTTTTTCGATCATGAATACGCACTTTTTCTCTTCTATAAATAGATTTCAATGAGGTTTTATGGAAAATCAATATAAATACTTGCACTTATCACTATGTTGAGTGATTTGAGGTATCGCACGATGTATTTCTGCGTATGTCATAATCTTCCCGGGGGTACTCGGTATATCTGAAAGAGGTCATTGTGAGCATTGGGTCTTATAGTAAAATTCTAATGTGATTTGAGTTGTCGCATGATGAGTTTTTGATATATCAATCTTTTGCGAACTCCCCAGTGGAACCTGGAATGCACATTTTTGTTCATATTTTCGGAACCATAATTCCGATCGGTAAAAAAAATCAATAGAAATCTATGGGGATCTGAAACACATCTTCTGGAACTTGTATATGCCATTCGTCTCTTCGGGTCTTGGAACGAAATTATGTTTTCAAGCGATATCATAGCCTTTCGGTTCACCTTGGTAAAAAGGTTGGTATCAGCAAATTTTCCGAGCCTTAATAAAACTTTTCAAATATGAAAATATTCATTAGAAATTCACATAACTTACATGTGATATCATAATTGGGAATTGCACCACAAAATCACATGAACCTTATGTGTCAAATGAAATTTAAGTGATTTATCATATAGAACTCATGTGATTACATGTATGTTATGTGAAATTTAGATATCAATCATTGGTTTTGTTAATTGAAAAATATTATGTGCATTCCCAATGGAAATTACATGAAAACTTTTTTCCGTGTACTAATTTCATATGTACATCGAGATGTTTCTCATATTAGAAAACAAATTCTCGTAAAAGCTCGTAAAGTTTTACTCAGTCTATGAGTTAACTACGTTTTCAAGAATAAGAGTCAACTAATCTCAACTTTGAGTCGACCTCATTTGTCGTGTAATCGTAATTTTTCTTTTTATTAATTGCTGTTAACGATACCCAACTCCAATTAGGTTCAATTCGTTAAAAGCAGGTCTTATTTGCTCGAACATTTACTATTACATTACATTACACTATTTCCTACCGATATTACATACACATATTTTTTACAGGTCAACTGTATCAGGACGTAAAGTGTTCACCGGTCATCTTCATACAGATACGTTCGTAGCAGATGTTGTAGATTCGATAAGCATACAAAGCTTGGCAACTGACACTAGTACACTGGCGTTTCTCGATGGTGCCAAGCAAATCGAGAGGTTGTCAGCAGAAGAATGTTATATTGAACTACTTGGTAGGTTGACTTTGAAGGATTTCCACGATGCCCCGTTCGCGGATATTGTAGAGAACAGCGTGAACGTCCATAACCCACAAAAACTAGAATACTTAATTCTACCGGACATCAAAGTGGAACATCTTCAAGCAGCTCTAATAAACGGCGTGAATGCGGAAGATTTTATCACCGAAATAGATGATTTCACTTACCGCGTGGATCCTTTCGCGACACAGTTCAAGATCGACAATCTGGTAGTTCGAAAGAACATTATTTCAACAAGTCAAATATTTATGGAATATCTGAATACAGTCAATGTGAAGGAATACCTAAAACTATTAACCCTGAAGGATAACCACAATGTAAAGCAGTGGGAAATTGGGGGCTGTAAGTCATTACAGAAAGGTTTGACAGTTGATGGAAAACTAAATGTAGTGCTTATCAATCGCTTGATTATGGACAGCTTACTTTACAATTCGGCTAGGAAATCCATGCGTCAGAACGTCGTAGGTTCATGGTATATTGGTCATTTGGTAGCAAAATATGTTGCGACAAAGCAAATCAACGGTAGGTATTGTATAATTTATCATATAGTAATCGTTAATGTTTTTGCTTTCTTCTCCTCCAGATATACCGACCAAATATTTGCAGAATTCAAATTTGAAGACATTTAACATTAAACATGATATATCGGTTGAAACACTGTTGGTATCGTCAAATGTGCACGGCATCATTTTCCCTAACAGTTCATCAGCCACGATGGCACCGAATATTCAGTCGGTCGCTAGTCTAGCTGTTCAAGGATCATTTTTGCTGCAACAGTGGAAACCTGGAACATTTTTCTTTGATATTATACTATCAGCCGTGACTGGTCAGACAGACGTTTTCGATAAGACAATCGTCTTCCATGGAAATTTCATCGATATGCTTAACATTTGGAACGAGGGCAAAATATTTAGCAGAAGTTGTAATTTCATCCATCTATTGTTGGATTCGGTGAAAAGGATACAAAAGAATCTAGTTTTCAGCAGTGTTGGCAAATCATTTCTTGATATTGTGTGTTCTGGATCAGTGGCATCTAACGATTTGATTACAGCATCGCTAGTAAATGGAATAGACGTGATACACTTAAACCGTAGCATACATCCTGTTGGTCACCAACAGGAAATGATCAAATCGACCAAGTACTTTGAAGAAGAAGTCAAAGTAGTGCAGCTGTTATGTAACGACGAGCTGACCGGTAATCTGTATCCGCATCACCTTGACCTCCATTCAGAAACAAGCCAAATGCCAAGGAAACGGTATCATTTTGAAAAGCCAACAGTCGTTATTGGTAATTTATATGTGGATGCCATCAACGATTATTCACTGCAACATTTCCTTGCTACCCGTGTTGTTAAAAATCAAACATTCGCGCATGAGTATCGGGTATGTATTCCTTACAAGTTGTTGTTCATATTTTCTCTAACAACTAAATGTCACAAATTCTCAAGGGAGGGACATAACGAGCATACGGGGTGATTTGAGCACACCCCCTCCCTATTAAACATTGTTTGAGTAAAAACAACCTAAACACTTTATTTGTTTTCCACTGTTCATGAGACTATGAAATATTATAATATTTCATCACTACTAAATAAGTTTTTAACGATTTAAGGTCACACTTTTTTGGTATTTGATTTCTGGGGAGTAATACGAAAGGCCAAATCACAAAAGCCCGAGCTTTTTCGGCCTTTTGTTAATTTGTTTTTAATACATTAAATTACATTATTAAAGTAATGTTGCAATAATTATTATTCTGCACCTTCGAAATAAAATATAATGGAATTAAAAAAAAAAAGCTTAAAATTTGGGTAGCTTTATTTTTATGTTTGTTTGAGTGTTTAACTACGATTTAATGACAAGATGGCTTCGTTTTTTGTGAATGTGGACCATTCAACGAGGTGACTCAGTTGTAACAGCAGAAAGGCTTCAGATGCTGAATGAGAGAGAAAGTGATAGTTAGCTTTATTATTCCAGATGTTTTGAGTATTCAATGACGATGATAGCTTCGTTCAAGATGAAATTCAATATGGGAGGTATTCTCAAATCGAAAATCGTCATTAGTAGGGATATTTATTTATTTATTTATTCGTCAATCAATCAAATCGTAAGCTATTTTTTAACGCTTTATTTGTTCCACATTCAAAATAGATTACATTTCATTTTAACCTAGGTGCTCCAGTTACTACAGTAACTTACCAGCCTTAATTGTTATGATATATCTAAGTGTTTTTACATTGTTCCTGCCTTGAAAATTCAGTATTTTAAACAGTTTTTTTTTCAAAGCTGCATGTCAGTATACCCGAGCAAAGTTAGAGATCAAATTGAAATCAGAATTTGCTGTTATGATGTAACTTATTTTGAATACTCCATTTGATATCATTTTGGTTGACTTAACGGTTAACACAGCAAAAATGAGAGCAAAATTTTACACTAATTCTGCTTTCAATGAAATCAATTTGATTACTGATTTTGCATTGATAATGTTTGACTGAATACGGGCTTGTCGTAAATGGTTAGCATCCATGCTTATCACGCTGAAAGATTTAAGCTCAAATGTCACCTCGGGCTAGTTACGAATGACCTAAAATGTGTTAAACAAAACAAATAAACAATAATCGTTACTTCAATGACAGATGAACTTAAATCAAATTTTAAACAAGAAATTATCAGCAGAACTTCAAGTTACGTTGCTTTGATTTAAAAAGTCTTAACTGCATAATGAAAGCACAATATGATATCAGACTTCTGTCGCGACAATTGAAATCAAAATGAGTTTTTATTATGATAGGAACTGCAAACTTTAATATCGTTTTGCTTTCATTTTGTTAACCGACTTTTCTCGGGTAACAATTGAAATCTTAAAACTAAAAAACTAAAACTAAATTTTATCTAAGTATAAAGGGAATTTTAACCGTTGCAATTGAGGATTGCAACGGTTTTTGCTTGAAATTATTAATTATTTTGTTGGACGTTTGTTCTAAAGTCTCAACATTCGAAATTCTATTTACTTCGATAGTACTGTACCAGGGAGGCAACTTCAGAATTTTGTTCTGAATCCTTTGAAGTGCTTTTTTCCTGGTAGTGCAAGAACTAGACCATATTGGACATGGAGGTTGACGGTACTGAAGCAAAGGGTTATGTTTAATCTCTTTATATTTGCAACAATGATGATTTCCCATAGTGACACATATCACTTTCTTAATGCTTCAGTATGCCTCAAACGATTAATTCTTGGTTGTTAATAGAACTTCCTTGATGAAATCGACTGCTTCATGCAGACTGAGCAATTCTGATTATAGTATCAGATTTGTTCTGTATACAGAGGAACTGGGAAGACATAATAAAGGAAAGAAATTGTCACTCGAGCACCAATAATTCCATCAATTCTTCTTTACCGTTAAATTTTACTATAGGCCTCACCCTCAATTTTTTAACTTTGTTAGAGACAAACAGAAGTCAAATAATTATCCTTCGAAAATTTACCTAAAGGGTGTCCACGATGAAATTGCCACACTATGAAATTGCTCTAACTTTTTAACCGTTGGGTAGAATTTAATGAAAATTTGGGTGGATTTAGTTCATAGTGCATTATTTACATCCTGCAAGTTTTAAAGTCCTGTGATCAAAACTCGCGGAAATGGAGTCGAAAGAACAGCTCGTGCGTGATAAAATCTTGCGCATTCATCACGAGAACAAGGATCTCTCGCATCGATCCATCGCTAAAACGTTGGGAATCGCGAATTCCACGGTGTCGCGAGTGATTAAGCGGTTCGAGGAACGGTTGACCACCGATCGGAAGCCCAGAAGTGAAGGAAAAAGTATTCCGTACAACACCAAAAATCACAACCGCGTAGTTGGGGCCTTCAACCGAAATCCGAACGCCTCCGTTAGGGATGTGGCTAAGAATCTGCACCTAAGCCGAAGTTTTGTCCAGAAGGCCAAAACTAAGGCTGGGCTTCGACCGTTCAAGGTACAAAAGGACCCTAATCGCGACGAGAAGCAGAACAAGTCCGCCAAAACCCGTGCCAGGAAGTTGTACCTCAACATGCTGACGAAAGTTGAATGCTGCATCATGGACGACGGAACATATGTGAAGGCCGACTTCGAACAGATCCCCGGCAACCTGTTTTTCACGGCCAAGGATAAGTTCAGCGTTCCGGAGCATGTCCGCACTCAGAAGATGTCCAAATTTGCGAAGAAATTCCTGGTTTGGCAAGCCATCTGCACGTGCGGAAAGCGGAGTGCACCTTTCGTGACCCAGGACACGATGAACGGACAGGTGTACATACTGTACATAAAAGAGTGCCAGAAGCGGCTGCTTCCTCTCCTGAAGGCCCACAACGTCCCAACAATCTTCTGGCCGGATTTGGCCTCATGCCACTACTCCAAGGACGTGCTGAAGTGGTATGCGGACAATAAGGTCAATTTCGTGCCGAAAATGTTCAACCCTCCCAACACTCCGGAGCTCCGCCCCATCGAAAAGTACTGGGCGATTATGAAGCAGCACCTTCTTAAACGACCTAAGGTAGTGAAGACAGTCGAGGAACTGAAGAAAGTATGGGTTTACATGCAAAAAACGGTTGATTCACAGGTTGTGCAGAATCTTATGGCCTGGGTTAAGGCCAAGGTGCGGGCATTTGCGTATGGACTGTAAATAAAATACGAGTAAAATGGTAAAATGAAGTTTAATAGTTATTTCTCAATCCCTGAAAATTTGATGGCAATCGGATGAAAACTTGAATTTTGCGAATCAATTTTGTGTGTGGCAATTTCATCGTGGACACCCTTTAGACAACAAAACAGGGAAAACGACTAGCGAGATCAGAAACTTATTTGCTGAGTTTTTCAGGACATTAACACAAATCATGATGACCAAGACCGGGATTACCAGTATTTCTCATACCTTCCTGAGCCAATGAGAGATATTGTAGTTAATAATGTTACCCTCAACGAAATCTTATATTCTCTAAGTACATTGGATGCATCAAAGGGTGAAGGTCCAGATGGATTGCCACCAGTATTCTTGAAATCAGTATCGCAGGAGATAGTAAAGCCAGTGTTCTGGCTGTTCAACTCTTCGCTCGAATCATGTTTTCTGTCAATTTGGAAGGAATCGTATTTGATTCCAATTTTCAAAAGTGAAAAAAAAATTACCGTGGAGTTGCTATATTGTCCTGCATTCCTAAATTCTTTGAATCTATAATAAATCAAAGTGTTTTTGCACAAGTTAAACATTTAATTACAGACAAACAGCATGGTTTTGTTAAAGGACATTCAACGACTACTAATCTGTTGAATTTTGTAACATTCTCTATTAACGCAATGGATAAGGGACATTATGTTGAGGCACTATATACTGACTTCAGTAAAGCGTTTGATAGAGTTGATATTCCTCTTTTGCTATTCAAATTATCCAAGTTAGGTTTTACATTTATTAAAGTGGATTCAGTCATACTTGACCGGTAGGACACAAAGAGTTAGATTTGAAGGAGATTTGTCATCAGTAGTCAATGTAACATCTGGTGTGCCACAAGGTTCCCATCTTGAACCATTACTGTTTATTCTATTTGTTGATGATGTAGAGCACATATTGAATATTCTGAATGTCTCAATATATGCAGACGACATGAAACATTTCCTGGAAATTCATGAAACGTCTGATCTTGTAGTATTTCAGGAATTGATAACTTTTACACTTGGTGCTCGAAAATTTTATTAAAGCTTAATGTGAAGAAATATAATTCCATTTCATTTACAAGAAAGAAAATTATTAGGCAAGAAAATTTAACAATAGGACAAAACAGAGTTGAAAGGTGCAACCAAGTTAGAGATTTAGGTGTTATACTAGATTAAAAATTAAGCTTTGTTGAACATTATAATAACATTATCTACAAGGCAAGCAACATGCTAGGGTTTCAATGATCCATACACAATCAAAACATTATACGTTGCATATGTTAGGCCCCTCCTGGAGTACTGTAGTATAGTCTGGGCTCCATATCCACCCCACCGTTTTTGGCCCTTCATACAGCGATATTGTGAATTCAGATCGGTAGCTCAAATTGATCTTGCTATTAAGTGGAGCTGCATACAAGACAAGATCTTCGAAGGGATGGTGGCTACCTTACATACATACATACATACAAGTCAAATCCGTATCTCTTATGCATGACGAAGCAGAGCGAACAGAAGCCACTACTGTTTTTCAGTTAATGTATTTTACATTCACTGAAAAACAGTAACAGTTCTGCCCGCTCTAGTTCGTGATGCATAAGAGATACAGATTTGAGTTATGAGCAAAACTTGTAGCTAATAACAAAACCTACAATAGCTCTATACATCATTTTGCGGAATGCTGTTGATGAAAAAAGTTTTTTTCCTTG